TAGTTGTTGAGATGAAATAAGTAAATACTTAAAAGTTAAAGTGTAACAAAACAAATACAATTAATAAATATCATTTGTTTACCAGAATGAATCATATGGATCATCATATCCATCATTGTAATCATTCATACCAAATCTTGGATACATGCTTCTTCTTGTTTGTTGTTTTCTTGGTAAATTTACTTGAAGAATTCCTTCATCATAATTGACTGTAATATTCTTAATATCAATATCTTCTGGAATTTCATATAATTGACTAAATGTTCCAAATCTTCCATTACAATATTTCATTGCAATCTTTGCAATATCTTCATCACTTATATTGCCCATTCGTTGTTTGATAGTTCTTATAATCATATTCATTTCATTGTCATTTGGTTTTTTAACTCCACTAACTTTCAAATATCCATTCTTTGTGATATTAACATCAATGTCTTCATCCTTTAATCCTGCTATTGTACCATAAACAATGACATTATTTCCTCTATCACTAACTTGGAATTTAACATTCATTTTCATTTTACTCCAATCAATCATTTCTCTAATTCTTTCTGAATTACTTTTCTTCTCTAGTTCTATTGCTTTTTCTTCTTCTTCCTTATTTTCTTCTTCTCTTTCACTTTGTGTTTTCTTTGGTCTAACATATCGTTGGTTTTGTTGTTTTCCTATTCCACTTTTTCTTTTCATTTCTTCTTCTTTCTTTTTCTTTAATTCCTCAATTGCCTTTTCTTTCTCTTCCTCTGCTTTCTTTTTCTCTTCTTCCTCTTTTCTTTTCTCCTCTTCTTCTTTCTTTTTTTCTTCTTCCATTGCTTGTTTTTGTTTTTCAATCTCTTCTACTCTCTTCTCGACTTTCATCTTTGTGACTCTTAACTTCTTGACCATTCCTTCAATCTCATCCAATTCTTCCTGTATTTTAATTACTAAATCCTTTCTTTTCTTACGATTCTCCTCATTTAATCCAACAAACCCATCCAAATCCATTAACACTTTCATATTCATCTCATTCACTTCAATCCCATTCTTAATCATGTTTTCACATTCTTTCACCGCCTTTTCTTGTTTCATCAAATATTCTACATCTTCCCCATGTTCTTCAAAACCTT